CCGAAGCAACAAAATATGCTTCCTAGGAGACAAAGAAGAGAATTTTAATTTAAGTACTGTCCTTCAACTTTCAAGTTGAGTGCCCCCAAACGAAAGGTAGAGGAATTAGAAAACATCCTCATCACCCACATCTCCTTGGTTATTGCCTGCTCCCTTTCTTTGTCTGCTTAGCTTTCTCTCCCTTCTAGGCCTTTCCATTTGCCTCCTCTCCAACACACTAGGTCCTACTCATTTTCCCTCCCTTCCTTCCTCCCAGTTTGTTCTTCCTTGGCCCCTGTCCACACCCATTCGGCCACACCCTCACGCTGAGAGTAGGGTGGAGTGCCTTTCCCAGGACCTGCTCGGTTTCTCTCGGAGCCCAATTTCATTCCTGGTGAATTTCTTGCTGTTGCCAGTGTCTTAATGGGTTGAGAAAGTCCACTCTCCCCCAACCTGGAACCTTTGTGTTTCATCTATCAGATCTCTGTCTTTCCTTCCAGGTTCTGTGAAATGTTCATCTGAACTCCCACCTTGGGACTCTGGGGTGACAGAACAGAGGAGGCTTCCTTGATCTTCACAGCAGCTGGAGTCAAGAATCCTCAGTAGAATGCCACGTCAATGCAACCCATTGCTTCCTTTCACTTTCCTACCAACTTTCATAGATTAAACTGGCAATTAGAATGAACTCAAAGGATTTCTCAACAAAGGAATAGTAGGATCTTAGAATTTCAATCCCTAAAGGGGTGTTGGCCAAGTTCAGTTTCCTTAAGCAAGGAATGACCTGCCCAGGGTCACACAATATAGTCAGGACAAGATCACAGCCCTCCTATCTTCCTAGCTAACCCTTTTATATCTACCCCAAAATTCCTGTCATAGTTCCAACCTGAGCCAAAACGTTCTCTATTTTAACGCTGTTTGAAGAATGAATTTTTGAAACTGGCTTAGAGGGTACAAAACCAGCCACAGCTACGCAAGACCAAGAGCACACACAGCAGAGCAAATGCCCTTTAGTTCCAAATTCGCCCTCTCCACATTGGGGAGGAAAATGTTGGCCCCAAAGCTTTGTTTAAATGCCAGATAGAGAAGCAGCAACTACCATAAGTGCTTGTGTTCTTTTTGTCTTCATGCTTTAGTTTCAGCGAAATCTTCTAGTTAAACTGAGAGAAATGGGTTTACTCGTCAGGGCACCAGGGACTGATGGGTTATAATACGGTAATCTCTAGGATGTGTTTTGGAGGATGAGCTGCTGGGAATTCAAGTAAACTCATAACTGGATCCATATGTGGACTTGTTTCTTTACTGAATAGCAAGGACAATACAGAAATTCAAGATCAGCTGGGCAGAACCAAGAAGATTCTCTGGAAGCTATGATCAGAAAATTCCAGTTCTAGGATAGTTAAGGATATAAGCCCTTCTCAAGCAACAGATGCCAGGCTGCCAGCAATTAAACAAAAGCTACCTTAGATTGGCAGTATGTTCCTATAGTTACCATGATATGTGATAAATGCATAGGTGTAGACCACATGCCCTATGGACCGAATTATGGGACCATCCACAAGGTCAAGGTAGAAACTTGTGTTCTGGTTGGACTGATTTAACCATGACTTGATAAGTAGTAACACAGGGTGTGTCCCTCTGAGTGTGTACAGATGTGAGTCCCAAATGTCTCGAGCTTTTCTGGTAGGCAGCTATGCATAGAAATGCGGTAAAGAAGATGTCATATTTGTGTGCTTAGAAAATTAAACATCTCAGAATCAAATGACATGGATATGGTTGCCTAAGTATATAGTTTCAAAATTTCCAAAGTGTTCTCATTGATGCTCAGGTGGAAGGAAATAAGAGGGAAGGAAAGAAGGGAGGCAGGGAGAGGAGGAAAGAGAATAAGAGAGAGAGGAGAGAGAGGGAACTCTGTAGCTCTTCCTGTTGTATTAAATAAGAGATGTCTAAAATTTAAGGAGCATTGAGTGGAGCAACAACCAATGCATAGCAGATATTTTCTGGATTCTTTCAGCCCTACTGAACTTATAGAGGAAATGATCTTACTCAGTTTAGGAAGCTTTGCTGATTAGAGCTGTCCAGAAAAGGGGGTTGAGTGGAGGTGCCCTCAGATACCAGAAAATTCATTAAGGGTAAGTTTCAAGGAGCTATAATATGACCATCTGTCCAAAGTGGTATAATACAACATAGCTACACACAGTAGAAAAATGAATGAGCCGATCTCCAAAATCCCTCCCAAACTTAGCCTTTGAATGAAATAAAAAATGTAGTATACCCTTTTCTTTTCTTTTTAATGTATTTGGTACAGGTTCTGCAGGATCTACAGGATCTACAGGGTCTACAGGGCCTCACTACATAGATTAGAGTTGTAGTGATCCTCCTGTTTTCAGCCTCGTAAGCACTAGTTTTACAGGCATGCACCACCACGCCCAGTCTCAATCACTATCTCAGTTCACCCTGGGGGTGGGGCCAGCACAGCACACAGGGACTGAACCCCAGCCTCTGCACTCTGCCTAAGCTGGCGCTTTCCTCCTCTGAGCTATCTGGCCAGCCCACACTGTGCCCTTTTCTATAGCCACTCTTTTAGTAGGCTGTGCAAAAATCTACCAAATAAAGCAGCTTTGCCCCCTCGTTAAGCTTCCCTAGGTCTGACTGTGCTCTCTCTCCAGTTCACCCCATTGGTCCAGCACTAACCCAAACTCCCAAGGGCCACACAGCACTCCCAAAGATGTTCTCCACAAAGACCATTCTCCACACAAGTAGCTAGACAGGCTTAATTTGGTCTCCAGAGGGAAGTAGAGAGGGTTGTGCAAATCACCCTGAGTCCTTTCTGGATCCGTAGAGGGGGTGTCCTTCCTCTGTAGCACTGCCTGGTACTGCTGGGAGATAGCCAGTTTCTGAGGGTGTGATCTGCTCTGGGCCTGTCCCTCATGGCCATGTGCCAACTCCCAAGACAGCTTTGTACCCCTGAACAATGTAAAATGTAGGGGCCCTCTGAAAAGGCACCAGACCGGATATCCAGCAGCCTGGACAGCATTCCACCCCCACCCCGTTCCCCAGCATCTGGGTGGACCTGGGGAAGCCTCTGAAGGTGGGCGGCCGCAAGGGGAAAATAAGCTCCTCTTTCTCTGTGCTTGTTGAAGACTTACAGCTGAAGTCCAGAAAAGCCCTCCCAGCTGAGAGATTGTCCCAATGCTTAGAGGAAGAGCAGAGAGCAGAAACCAGATCAGAGGATTTTTTTTTTTTTTTAATTTCCCTTGACCTCTAGGGAAAATACATCCTGCATATTTTCTCACTTATAAAGCTGCAGCGTAATGTGAACTGCTCCACAAATAATGCAATTCTGTGGTTACACCCTGAGGATCGGTGCTGTTCTCCCTGTGCTCACTGGTTAGAGGTTGCTTATTAGTTAAGCATAACTAAAAGAAAACTTGTATTATCTATCTTCTTGGGATACCATCACTGTGGACTTAATAATAGCTTTCCTAACTCACATCCATGTAATCTGCAAATAATAAACATTTGAAGCCCGTGTAAGAATTCCCTGCTCCTTGAAAAGCTCCCCTCGCACTTACTTAATCACCCCTCAGGGGCAGATTTTCAAGGAGTTTTGCCTGTTCAACGCACAGGCTGATTACATCTAAATCTTCTCTAGATGAGCAACCTGCATTTCTGCAGGAAAACCCTAGCTAGCTTCAGCAGACAAGCTGAGTCGTGTCATTCTCCTGTCCTGTTTACACGGGGGGAAAATAACCAGCGTGAGTGTTGCAATGGGGCCACACCCCCACAGACACTCCAGTGAAACGCTAACCTAGTAAAACAAAAACAAACAGAAAAGGCGCCTTTCTTCATTCCCCTTGGCTCGCTTTATGCTTAGCACGAGCGTTTGTGTCTCTACAACCGCATTTTGGGAAAGAGTAAAAAGAAAAACGTTCCCGAAACAATCACTGCAGGAAAACGCGACATCCACTTAAAAAGGCTTTTATCATTTCTTAGACAGACGTTCTATGGGGCCCTGAAATGCAGCTGTTTCTGGGGTAGAAGTACGAGCTCTTCAACAGGTTTTTAGAGGACCGACCCATGAAGCGCAGGCTCGCCACCCCCTCCTCCAAGCCTGGGTCCGCTGGTCTCCCTCACTGCCACACCTGGCCAAGGAGAAGTGAGACTGGGATTCACATGGAGCTCCTGATGGCACCAAATGCACCCCTCCCGGATTTTATTTGAAACACCTCTTACCTCTCTCTCTTTCCCTGACAGTTTTGTTTAAACAAATCAACCCCTTTTCCCATCCTGTATGGGGGGGGGGGGGGAGAAAGCTCAAATTTAAACAGAAGTAAATGTGTAATTAATAAAAGAAAAAGACAAAAATAAACTGAAATCTTGTATAGCAATTAACCACTAAGAAGAATGTATGCAGTGTGTTAATTATTGAAACTGTCCTAGCGATTTGATTTGAAACTGTCTCATTGCTATTTATCAATTTAAAATTATGAAAAAAAAACTGAAAACTACATATCTATCCATCATCACCCCTCCAAAAAAAAAAAAAAAAAAAAAAAAAAAATCAGCAAATAACCCAGAAACAAAAAGAGACTCAAATCCTAAAGCACTTCAAATCAAAATTGAAGAGCTGAAAACAACACGCAGCAAGTCAGTGTGTCATTTCGCAAGTATGCAGAGTTCCCTCCATAAATCACATATCTCATCCAGACTTATTCCAAAGTCCCTGCTCCTGCCACACCTTCAGAGCCAGAACTCAATTGTTAAAAAAAAAAAAAATAACTACCGTCCAATCCTGCCTGAGAGTTTCCCTCTTCTCAATATTAATTTCTGTGAACTTTTAAGAGGGAAATGGGCTCAGTATCCAATTTTAACTAAAAGTTTTGAGGGCTTCAGAGAAGCATAGAAAAGTAGCAAAGTAGGGAAATAAAACCAAAAAATAGAATCGTCTCCTTCTTAGACGAACTCAGAAGAAGGAGCGGGGTGACACTCGGCACAGCTTCCCTGGTTGCTAACCGTCTTACCTGGAGATCCCGGGCTGAGAGGCAGACACTCTAAGTGGCGCGAGCTGGCAGCTGCCTGGTCCGCTCTTCTGGAGGTATGCGACCGCAGTGAGAGGAGGGACCTGCCTCCCGAGGTTATAAGTTTTCTCCGCTGGTGTGCTGGGGTGTGTGATGGGCGGTTTCTTTTCCCTGTGTTTTAAAGGAGTTTCTGTGAATCAGTCTGGCTTAAAAAAAAAAAAAAAAAAAAAAAAAAAGAGTTGTTGGTAAGCTACGCCCTGCTAAGTTGGCAGCCAGTCAAAAGTGGCTGGGAGTGAGCCCTCAATTCAGAAAAGCCTGTCCTAGGCTCCCTCTGACTCAGCTGCACAGACCACAGTGGAAAAAGGAGTGACACCGCTTCAAATGAGTAATAGAAGGCATACAAATAGATCTGTTTACTGAAGTCCATTCCTCCTCCCCAGAAAGGAGGTTTGGTTACCATGGACATGAGCAAAACACAGGTTCCAGCAGGGGAAGGGGAGGGTCAGGGAAAGGGACAGTCTCCTATTAATTAAAATCCAGCTAATCATTCAACAAGATTCCTGTTCTCCCTCCCATCCCTCATGCATCAGCTGATGCTCATTGTCAGGAACTCATTTCTGACTTTACTGCTTGACCTTCACATGCCATCCAGAAGGGTGGCTGTGGGACCTGGCCCAGAAAACAGAAGGGGGCCCACCTCGAGTGCGAGCGTGCAACCTGGTTCTGAATGACAGGAACCAATTGCTGGCCAAAAGTCCCTAGATTCTAATTTCGCTCTCTGCAGGCCCATAGGGACTCTACATATCCCAGGAAGAAGTCCCCTGGTTAAGGACTTTGCTTTCGGATCTCCGTGTAATCATCATCTGGACCTTGTGCCACAGTTGACTTCCTTGAAAACAGCAGTGGCATGATCATCGCGGCCACCTCCCTGTGCCACTCCTTGCTCTGTTCTGGAGCTGGGAAGGGCCTGCAAGGGCTTCCGGTCCCACACACAGCCCAGGCATTCCACCAGGGAGATGGAGAGTCCGCCTGGGCAGATGCCGGAGGCTAAGCTCTCACTTAAACTCAGCAGCTAGCTGAGTGACCCTAGGCAAATCACCTGCCTTCTCTGTGCCTGTTTCCTTGTATATCAGAAGTAGGCACCTACCTCAAGGAGCTCTCATGAGCAATTCCTGCATGGAGCTTACAGTGATGCATGCATTAAGTGCTTTACAATGATTATTTTCCAGTAGAAACACAGGCCCAGAGGGAATCCGAGTGACTGCCCCAGCAGCACCATAAGCTAGTAGTAGCAGCTTGAATCCAAGTCTAGCAGCCCCAAGCAATGCTATCTGTTATGTTCTGCTGTATCTGAACAACCTATTTCAATTTGAAGTATGCTCCTGTACTAATTTATTCACTCACCCATAACACGGCACGTCAGCCTTCACTGGGTCCTGTTCAGAACTGGTTCACAGCAGTGAACAAGGTCCCAGACCTCTTGGAATTTCAATTGTGTAAAAGGATAGAAAATGGATTGGTGAGGGCTGGCCAAATAGCTCAGCAGATTAAAACGCCTGCTTAGGCAGGTGCAGGGGCCAGGAGTTCCATCCCTGGGCCTGCCATGTCAGCCCCGCCCCTGGGGTGCGCTGAAATGGCGATTGAGACTGAGCATGGTGGTACGCACCTGTAATCCCAGCATTTAGGAAGCTGTGCACAGGCAGATCACGACGAGTCTGATCTAGGCAGTGAGACCCTGTAGACCCTGTCCTAAAAAGAACATTAATAAATTTAGGTAATAAAATTATAGGTACATTTTGTTGCTTCTCTTCACATTTCTGTATTTTTCAAATCTTCTCCAATGAACTTAGATTGTTTTGGTTTAAAGGGAAAAAATACATTCAAAAAGAAGAAAATATTTTCTAAAGTGGATGAGGGAGAAACAAGAGAGAGAGAGAGAGAGAGAGAGAGAGAGAGAGAGAGAGATTTGATCCTGCTTCTGCACAATTTCCTGGGAACTGAATTCTACCCCTATGAAAATAACCAAGACTAGATTTTTTCATTAAAAACTGATGATGTGACAAAGATTGCATCAGTTTCTCAAGCATTTCCTCCTGCCCCCTCCCCCATCACTCATTTGAAGATAAAAGCCTAGGAGATGCCACTCCCAGCAGTGGGCTGATCTGAGATCCAGTGGCTCTGCCCTCAGGGAGGGAGGGTTCCTGTGGGTGAGGCCAGCCCTCCCTGGCTGTGGGGACCTGTACCTTCTCCTTGCTAAGTCTGCCTCCTCGGACTTCTCTGACATTTGGAGTACATTTGTCCTCCAAGGCCTTATGCCAGTTGCATTTTTTAAAAAGAGAAATGCAGGGAATTTTGGAGGACAGGATTCTCCTCCCTCACCCTGCCAAACCCCTGCGTCCCTCTGTAGGTTAACAATGGGAAAAAGCAGAAACTTGTCTTAAAGTACTGGAGCAGAGGAGTCACTGGTCCTTCTGGATTTCCGCAGTGGATTCAAGGAGGGAACAGAGAGTGGTGCTCTGAAAACAGAACCCAGAAACCCAGAGTTTTAAGTTTTCCTTTCCTACCTCCAGGCTGGGACAGGAACAAGTGTCTGCCCCACTGCTTTTCAGCCATAAAATGAGTAGATATCACAGCCTTGCAAAGGGCCTAATGAATCACTTCTTCCCACATGTTTTGGAGCTGTTTAGGCTTGGAGAGAATACTCTTGAGCTCTTACACACATACATACACACACACACACACACACACGCCACATAGAATCAAATAGTGTGACTATTTAAGATGCATGCTATTCAAGAGTTTGTAAGTCTCATCACCGACCCTTGCAATATCACTGAACTCATTTTATAAAACAGTTATCAAGCCTGGGAAAGAAATCAGATCTGTTCTGGCCAAAGTTCCCTTTTATGGTGCTTCTGCATGTGATTAACACGGTAACACCTGACTTCCGCGGCTGTGAGCAGAGGATTCCAAGACCTTGGACGGGAAAGGGCTGAAGGGTCTCCAACACACGGGACTGAGAAGCGCGGTTCTCTCTGGCGTCCCCTCTGGCCTTTCAAACAATTTAGAAGACATGCTCATTTTCCACATGGGCAAAGTTTCACTAGAGCTCAGGAAGGCCATAGGTTCTTGGGAAGGCATGTCCCCTCTTCCCCAGCAAGACAGGGTTACTCCGCCCCCTCCTTTGGATCAGAGGAATCCACTTTTGGCATGGTGCCATTTGGGGCAGATTTTTCAAGCCTGAACTGGCATAAACACTCTTAATGAATGTATGAAAGCAGGGCTTTTAATGACTGATTTAAGAAGTCTGTGAAGGTAGGTCTGGCCCTGGCAGCCCACAGAAAAGAAAACTAATAATAGCTTAAACTTGTTCGTGCTTAAACTCAGCCAAGAAGAATCCCAGTCTTTGCAGCACGCTCCCCCAGGCTATGATGTGTGCAAGGATGTCAGTGATAATACCAGCACAGGCTGAAAGGTAAACAGATTGAAAGAAAAAAAGTTACACGGTTTCTTCCAAAGTCAAATGAATGCTCGCTCCCTGCCACGCCTCTGAAATTTGAGAATTGAGCCGACATTCTCTATTCCTCTCTGCCCTTTCCTTCTTTTCTTTCCACTGTGGTTCTTTGTTTTTCTCACGGGACATTTTCATCCTGCTTTTCTTGTTCATTTTCTTGAGGATCTCTCAGTAACTGTAACTTTAATATGGCTTTGCAAATGTGAAGTCTCTGAACTACCTGGGCCCCCTCCCCCTGGTGTCCTAGCTGGTCTGTGCTGAAACTGCTCTGGAAAGATAATACGGATGAAATTCCAAGAGCATTCCAAGACTCCGGCTTCTGGCCTGACCCTGAGCCGGCAGGGAAGTCTCACTACTGAAGAAGTACACATGACCATGGAAAAGAAGTAGCCATGTTGACAATGATTCTGAACTAAGCAGAGAAAAAGCCAACCTTGCCATGCCAGACAGTCATCAGACAGGGATTAATTGCTGTGATCAGTTTCTTTGACAATTGGGGATACAGATGGATGACTGAAGTGACTAGAAGATGAGACAGCCTGAACCCTGGCCACGGGGTATATAGCTTCGCAGGCAGAAAAGAACAAGAAACATGCAAATAAAAAATAGTTGTAGCGGGCCAGCCAGATAGGTCAGCAGATTAAAGTGCCTGCTTAGGCTGTTGCAGGGACTGGGGTTCGATCCCCAGCACACCATACTGGCCCCGCCCCCAGGTGCACTGAGATGGAGGCTGAGACTAGCGCTTGGGAGGCTGAAAACAGGAGAATCACTACGTGTCTGATCTAGTAGTGAGACCTTGTAGACCCTGTAGTAAATACATAAGGAAGAAAAAAAAATAGCTGTGGCCAAAATAAAGAGTGAAAAGATTCTCTCTACAACAGATGTCAACTGCAATCTTTGAAGGTTGAGAGCAGGAGAATATTGAATGCATGGGTTTTCTGTTGCACTTTGCCTTCCATGCTCCTGAGAGCATCATTCGCACTATTTCATACACCTTTGCAGGTAAAGAACTGATTATTCATAATTAAGGACTGAACAACAGATCCATGAAGTGGATGCTGGCTGCATAGCAGGTGTTCGGTTAAAATGTAGTACCATTAGTCAGTCAAGTATCTAATACGCAAGGTTTGAAAATGAAAACCCAGGTTTTTCTTCAAAATTTATTTCCCTCCAGCTCAGTTTCTCACCACACCACTCCCCTAGCTAGGCTTACACAGCTTTGGGGAAAGTAGTCGAGACACATCTATCCATCAGCCCAAGAAAACTGCCATCAAAGGGGGCACAAACCCAAGCAATCCAGCCTCTTGTGCTTATTATTATTCTTAATGCATATCAATTATACAAATTAACAGACTTCACTCTGACATTTGCAAGCATGCATATGGTGTGCTTTGATCATATCCAGTTTCTCTGTACCTGTAGTTCTCTAATAATAATCCATCTTTTACTTTTGGCCATCTTTAATAATCCATCTTTACTATTCATCTTTCTGTGTCTGGTTTATTTTGTTTACTAAGATGATCTCCAGTTCTGTCCATTTTCTTAACAATTATATTGTGTATATATACTGTACTTTCTCTACCCACTCGTCTGTTCGTGAGTACCTTATAGCCTAAGGATCTTAAAGCATATTTCTCCCCGGGACTGCATGGTCAACAAAGCACACAAACTCAAGAATGTGTTAAAAGAGATCTTTG